ATTTGTTTTCATTGCTCAAAAAAATAAAATAAATAAATAACAGTAACATGTAATTCTTTTTCCCACCAAAAAGGTGGGAAAACCAATTCCACCAAATCATGGAATTGGCACATGTGTGAGGGGATTGTGGAAAAAGTTTTCTAAGAAAAAATTGTACCATCAGACATGCCGAAAGATGGAATTCCATTTTTCTTGAAAAATATCCCCTATCAAATACACCCTAAGATAAAGCAAATACTTGCTCATATCATGGAAATTACACGAATACTTACCCACTACCATCCATGTCAAAATACTGAAAAGCCTTGTATATATTCTCTTCTTTCTCGAGTCTATGCCGATGCATGGTCACTGTAATGAATTCGATGGAGTCTATAGTTCCATTCTTGTCAACATCAGCCTGGAAGTAGAAATTATAACATCATCCAATATCTCGTAGTTCTATATTGGAAAATAGCATCACATTCTTAACTCCAGTTTATTAATTCAAAAGGGTAGGTATATGAGTCGGTAGTAATTTCTTACAGCTTCCATTAGGTTTTGTATTTCTGCCTCAGTGAGTTTCGAGCCTAGCTTAGACAACCCATTTTTGAGTTATTCAAATGTAATTGCACCGCTTCCATCAGTGTCACGTTGTCGAACATTTGTTTCAGTCCCTTGATGTCTTCTTCTGCCAGGTTTTCTGCAATAACCTTAAAGCCAATCCAAATTTCTGCTATGAGGAATAAAGCTCCAAATAGCTTCAAGTATATTGAAATTTAAGATTACACTTGTTCACAAGCTGAAGGTTGCAAGTCGAAACAATCAAGAAGAGCCTGGAAAATTCATCAACAGAAAACGCACTGTAGGGAACAGAGGAGTAGATTCCAATTTTGTTGGGAGATGCTACATGTACATAATGGTGTACACACGGTTTTACACCTCCCTCATATGGAGGGGAGCTCACACACAATAAAATATTCGTGGGCCCCCCTCCATGTGAGAGGGGTGTAAAGCTGTGTGTACACCACGAGGTGTACGCATAGCATTTTTCTAGCTAGAAAGCTAATAAAAGAAACATCGAGGGGATGGGATACTCCATGTGAGGGGGGTGTAAAGCCTTGTGTACACCATGAGGTGTACACATAGCATTTTTCAATTTTGTTATTGTTAGTTATGCATAATAAAATCAGCCAATAGTTATTTGACACTTATATAGTTTTGTTAGAATTTGTTCTATATATTTGTAATTGAGCCTTCATAATCATAATATATAGATTGAATGAATGAAATCATTATTCAACATTCTATTCTCCTCTTAACTCGTCTTGCTAAATATTGTTCAGCAAACAAAACAATTTTTTTCTTGGTTTAGTTTCTCTTTTCTTATATGGTATCAGAGCAATGATGGCTGAAAATGAAGGCAATGGTGTCGATTCCAATACATCTTAAAACCAAAATACAAATTAAAGCAATACATCTCTTCCTAGCAGCCCATACTTCATTGGAGCTAATGAAAACTCAGGAGCTTTGTTGGTAACTCATATGCTGGACTCTACCAATTACCACTCTTAGGCAAGGTCCATGAAAAGAGCTTTTCGGATTAAGAACAAACTAGGCTTCATTGATGGCAACATAAGTGAGCCAACCAGTTGGACAACCCTTTAATGGAACATTGGCTTCGTTGCAATGATATTGTTATCACTTGGATGCAAAACACCATGTCAGTAGACATAAAGGCAAGTACTCTCTATGCTGAAACAGCACACCAACTGTGGTTGGAGTTGGAGCAACATCTAGCCCAAAAAAATGCCCCTAGAATATATGAAGTCAAGCAAGGCATGGACAGGACATGGTGAGTACTTATTTTTCAAAGCTTAAAACACTACTTGATGAGTTGATGAACTATGAGTCCATTCCCAACTGTACCTGTAGAGAATTGAGGGCAGTGGTTAAGAGTCAAGAAAGAGATTATGTGATGAAGTTTCTTATGGGGCTCAACGACTCTTACAAAGGTCCCAAGGCACAAATATTACTGATAAAGTCTTTTCCAAAACTAAATGAAGTGTATTCCATAATCCCGCAGGAAGAGAAGAGAAGAGAAGAGATATCTCTGTTGATATGCCTTCCACTGAACGAATGACGCTGGTCTCAAGAAGTGTTGGGAAGGGAGGTGATTTGGGATCTCAGAAGAGGTACTATTGTACCTTTTGCAAGATGTCTGGCCACTCGTTGGATAGGTGTTTTAAGGCAAATAAGGATAAAATCTGCACTCATTGCAAAATGTTAGGCCATAGCATAGATAATTGTTACAAAGTCCATGAATACCCAACAGGTCACAGGCTGCATGGAAGAACACAGGCAAATATCATTTCTACAAACCATAATGCTACTCCTTTGGAACCTGCACAAGAGCAGATTAGTGACAGAAATCAAGTAAGTTTAACTCAAGAGTAATATTCACAGCTGATAGCCTTGCTGAAACCACAAACCAGTGAATCTCATGCACTCACCCCAAAGCACATTGATATATCCAAAATTTCTGGTACTTATATGTATTTGTCAGCTTACAACACAAAGGTTGAGTCTAACTTAACTATACCTTGGATTGTAGATACTGGGGCTACAAACCATATGGTCTGCTCAGCTTCATTCCTCACAGCCATTAAATTCAAAATATCTCAATCTGTGACCCTACCTAATGGGGATATAACAATGCCTACTCATGTAGGAAGTGTTAAACTTACAGATCACTTAATACATCATGATGTTTTGTGTGTACCATCCTTTTCTTTTAATCTTGTCTCTGTCAGAAAGCTTGCTCAAACATCAAAATGTTGTCTCATATTTACTTCTAATTCATGTTATGTGCATGACTTTTCAACTTGGAAGACGGTTGGTCTGGGTGAAGTGAGGTGGGGATTGTTTCAGTTGGTGAAAGGAGAAGTGTCTTCTACAAGCCTGATCCGTGACTTACCAAGGCTTGTTAATAAAACCTTTTTTCCACCTCCAGTATTTCCAATAAAGAAAGTTTTGATCTGTAGCATTTTAGATTAGGTCACCCCTCAGATTCTAGGTTACACTTATCTGATTTACACTATGACTTTGGAGCAAAGGGCACAAGGATCCCCCGTTCTATCTGTCCCTTAGCAAAATTACATAGGTTACCTTTTAGTATTAGCCAA